CTGGGTACTTCGACCCTAGGTTGTTCGACCTCCACTCTATGGTTCATCCCATCTGACTGTGGATTCTGGTTAATGGTCATGTCATCCTCTAAGACCACACCCTGATTTCCTCTTATCAGCTCTCTTTGGAGGTGTCGAATAGGTTGAGGAACCCCAAAAAATTCGACCATGCGCGTCATTTGCGCTGCCATTTGTTGATTCGGCTGGGTGGTATTTGGTATCAGAGGTTTAAGTATTGTACTCAAGGTTTATGCCAACATCTGCACCATGTCATGGTTACTCTCATCCATTTGTTGCCTCAAAATTGCTACAGAAGCAATTGTGAGGCTTGGCATTATATGGGTCGTCCCTCCTAAGAGTTGGTTTCTACCCATATTTTCTATACCAGTTCCAGATCCCAACAATGGTGAAGATGCACTCACCAAAGGTTTTGAAAATGTGGATGAGGCATTCATAAGGCTTGCCATTTCAGCAGTTGGCATGCCATAGGGTTGGTCCCGACCCATCCAGGCTTTCGAAAATCCTAGAGGGACATAAGGTTGAACTCTTGGATTTCCCCTTGGTGGGGGTGTTCCTGGTGGACCCCTAGGACCTATATAAGAAAGTATTGGTCCTGTTTGTGTAACCATCAATGCTGGTGTCGAACCAACCGTTGATGGAACAGGTTCACTAATTGTTGGTATAACCGTGGTTCCATTGCAGAGAATTGGTGGAGGCATTTCTCCACTACTTGGATGATTAGACATTCTCCTATTTCTTCTCCTAGGTATGTACTCTTTGGTGGTTGATTTGCCACTTCTTAATAACATACAACACTCTTGAGAGAAAGGAAATTACGTAAAGCATTTATGATAAAAACTGTTTTTATCAAAGTTTGTAAAAAAAACAAAAACTTAGCAACGTCCCACCGGGTGTGCCAATTTTTTTACCTGAAAATTGGTAAACAACCGTTGATCTTCCAAAAAAAGGTTATTTTGGTTACTTGCAGGATCGATCAGTTTGACCCTAGGACATATGCTAAGTGTTTGTGGGGTTTGATAATAAGTCTTAACATTGTTAATGAACAAGTTCGACTGGACATTAAGAGTAAAGGTTTAAATAGGTTTAAATGCACAGGATGAAGGTAGAACCTTGATAAAAACGCAAGTAAAGTGCAGGATAAAGTAAATTTGCAGTAATTTAAAAGAGTGTAATGGAGAAGTTTGCAGAAAAGTGTTAAATGGCAAGGATTGTAAAGAAATATAAAGACTTTGATTGCAATAAAGTATGGTGATTCAAACGTACATTCTCAATATTCATTCTCTCACAAAGGGTACTTGAATAAAATTGAGTGACTTGTACAATAAGTTGAACACACGAAATTCTACACAAAATTCCTATATTTATACTAGTAATAAGTAACTGTCAAACAGTTGCTTCATTCCAGGATGAGGACAAGTGTCCTCTGCATGCTCTTCGACCCATATCTTCATGCCACACCTCTTTTCCCAACTGACAAATGAATTGTCTTTCCCTCCTTTCTTCAAATTCAAATCCACTCGCTGCTGATACAAGAGCCTCTCGGTCGAACATTGTCTTTAACTTAGAAAATTCTCTAAGTGTTTCCTCCTTCTTAGCAAGGATAACTTCGACACAACTCCTTTCAAAGGCTCTTCTGTCGAAGTGTCTTCAACTTAGATTTCTTCAATTTATTTTTAGCCAATAAGGCCAATATATGTGAGTGTTGAGTTTAGGAGCTAACAGATGGGTAAAAAAATATATACAATATTAACAAGTGCAAAATTTCTTAAAACGATAAATATTACTGCAATGCTTGTAATATCTAAACGTCAGTCCCTGACAACAATACCATTTTGATGTTCATTAATCAAAAGTAAGTATTTTTTTTATCTTATCCATAGGGTCTGGTGCAATATTAATATCATTCCACAACTGATAAAATTTTAAGTAGATAACCACAAATTATTTGATTGTATAAAAGGGAACAAAATGTAAAATGATAATTGGTAAATAGAATTTCAGAGACATGAAAACTTGTTGGGATTAGATTTCATTGACCTACTGAGTACGTATTTTCACGATCGATTATATAGAATCTTGTTGTTAATCAATATTTTCATGTATCACTAACCGACTATATTTATGTTTATACTCTGTTGGGAAATCAACTGTATTGTTTAATCGACGATTTCTCAACCTATTGAACAATACGGTAGCTTTAAAAATTGATACTTGTGATCAATATCCAATCTAAATTTATGTCTAGAATTTAGCTTCAAACAAAATATTATCCTAAGTTGAGATCTAAATAGTACTTCTCAATCACGGTTTAAATCTAAAAGTTAAACAATGAAAATAAGGATAACATCAATATTGATGAATAAAAGTTTAATATATAACACTGTTCAAAATAAATACACACGGTTTCAGTCAATTACGTCTAATCCCAATAAGAGAGAAGAATTAGCTACTCATTGTCATGGTAGCTTGAAACAAAATAGAAGAATAAAGACGAACGAGCACTAACATTGATTTCCCAACGATTGATGCGTATCTAGCTTCTATTCTTCAGGTTTAACTCTTCCCTTGTTTCTAACTCTACGATAGCATCTCAAGTAAAAATGGAATGCCTTCTGGTTCTGTCTGATGCCTTTTTATAATTTTCTAATCCTACTGCTTCGCTTAGCGAGCTGACGTTTCACTTAGCGACATGTCTTTCCTTCAGCCTAAATTATTCCCAATCCACCTTTTTTGAACCGCCTTACCTCGCTTAGTGAGATATGGCTCGCTAAGCGAAACTTCTCGCTTTCTCCTCGCTAGGCTTTGCTAAGCGAAAGTGATGAATTTTGGACTTCTGAACTCTCTCCCATTCCTCGCTTGGAGCTTGCTGGTGCTCGCTTAACGAGGTCTTACTGTGAGCTCACTAAAGCCTCACTTAGCAAGTTTTGCAGGGTCTTTTCATTTGCCTTGTTGTCCAATTATGTACTTATGCATCAATCCTGCAAAAGATGTATACAATCGAGGGTAAACATGTACAAACTTTTATTATCCTATTCAAACTCAATTCTAATCAAAATATGGGGGTTTTGATGTTAGAAACTTATGTACCAAGTTAATAAGTGTCCAAATTAAATGTATTAAATCTCCATATTTTGGCATAATCGAAATCTTTTAGATCTACAGGTGCTTCTTGATCACCCATCTTTTTCTTTTTTCAATTACTTTCCAATTGATTATCTCATATCATATTATTACTAAAATCACATCTCTTATCTTTGTTACTTCTTCTACATACGCTTCTTCTCCAAATTTGAATATGAAATGTTCCAAAATTTGTTGTGATTAGATTATCATATGGTAGGCATACTTTTTTTTCTTGCTCCAGTCATGTATTTGATTACTTGGTTTTCCCAATTTATCTTGATTTTTTTATAGATTATTCATACAGCTTCAACATCAAGCTGAGTTATGAGACCAAAATTGCTTTTTCTTGGAAAAAAATATGTGATTGGTCATATAGTAGATTATACGACTTTCCGAGTGAATGTATCCTCCAGTGAATGGATTTGGCATCAAAGATGATGGGTTTCTCATCAGAGGGGATGCAACAGTCTTGTGGTTGAAGTTATAGACTATATCTCATGACTTGAGAATAACATCTTCACGAGGAAGGTTCAAGATGTTTGCAAACTCTTCCAATGATAGAGATATTTTATGCCTTTTTACTTCATAATAAACTATTTCATCAGTGAAGTAAATATTTGAGAAGAACTTCATTAGTGATGGATACACCTTTCTTAAGGGGCTGTAGATGAACGTGGACAAATTTAACTCTTCATAAGTCTTAAAGAATTCATGTTCTTTAAAGGCTTCTGATTCTAGGGTGTGGGTTCTCAGGATAGTTTCGTTGGCAAAATCTTGGTGGAAATATTTTGAAGGACTAAAAACAAAATTTGAGATATTTAGGAGGACCACATAGCTAGTTGCTAACAAAAGAAAGTTTTAGAGAGAACACGTTCTTAAAATTCCCGCACGACTAGGGTTTTTTAGAATACATGAATAAATGACTGTCACTTTAATATAAGGGTTCCATTATAGAATCACTTATATCCAATGTGACTTACGATTCATTGTGTTTATTTAAAAAGTGCTAACGCATTGTAAGAATGCATCTTTGAATCAATAAATGAATCATGCTCATTATTTAATCTTTCGTTTATTTGTCTATAAGTGGTTGACTCTGGTTCATCCGTTTAAAACAGAGGAAAATGAGGGGCGTCATTCTCCCGAGTTGTAACCATGAAAGCACCATCTTACCCCATTTATTCTCATGAACTTACCCATCCAATTCTTTTAGTGGTTAGAGTTGGGCTTGAGCAGTGTCCTCTCAAACAAGACGCACATATTCACCTAACTTTCTTGTGATTCAATATTAGTACCATAGAAGGAAAATAATTTTTCTATGATAGAGTTGGCTTCCAGTCCCCAACACATAATCTCGAAGGAACCCATCCGTTCAACAAGATTTGGGAGAGAGAAACGTTTGAATTCGCGAAAACCTCTACTTTGAACAAGGTAAAGGGAACACATTTATCTGATCTTATACAAATATAACACTACAATATGAACACTTACTATGAGTAAAGGCGATCCTCACCAATTTTGCAGGAAAGAATATTAGTCATAAAACACATTTCTTAACAACTATACTTATCTATTAATCGTCATCTTTATGCATATTTTGTCTCGGATTAGAATTAAACCACCATGGTACATGATTATTATTTTGTTCAAATGCGAAATTTCCAAAAAAATAGAAAGATCTGAGACAGATTGTATGTGCAGTAAAAGGTTAAATTTCATTTCATACTTGAAATAAAAAACAAAGTGGCAAATCTTAAAACAGAAAACAAGTACTCATTTTGTAGCTTATTATGATTCAACACATTTTACTACGACGCAAAAAACTAAAACATGGTCAAACTAGAGTTACACACTGTTCAAATCTCTTGAGGAAAAGCTGAAACCCTCTGAAACCTAACATAATAAGGCTCAAGATCATCACCAACAGCCAAAACTTTAGTTCCATCAGTATCTGTAAAAGTTCCAACTGGAGCACACAAAACACCAGGAACAGAAGGACAAAACTTAAAGATATAGATAGGAACATCAATGTCTCCTTCAAGTTTCTCAATCTTGAACTTGCTAATAAGATCCCCAGCAACACCACCTGTGCTCACAAACCAGAATCCAGACCCCTCCTTTGAAAGCTTCCATACTTTTGACTCCTTGCAAGGACTACCCACGATTGGAATCTCAATGGTGAGATCAGTTTGAGTTGGAATGTATGTAAGACCTGGTGCAGAGAAGTATACCGGGGAGCCAATTGCTTTGGGGTTACGAATGACGTCAAGTGGACATGTTTTGTTTCTTGTTGTGCCTAATGTTAAGCCTCCGATGTTGTCGGCCCAAAACTGCCACACGTAGTAGCCTTTTCCTGGTTTTAGACGCTTGCCTTGTTTGTCTAGTACTGCCTCTGGTTCAGCTCCTTGTAGTGGCTTTGCGTTGAACAACACCAAGAGAGAAAGGAAGCAAAAGAGTGGAGTGAATTTCATTGTTTCTTGATTGTTTGTTGGTGGCTTATGGTGTTTGTGTTGTGTGTTTCTTCAGTTAAGTAGATGGTTGTTTACATAGAGATGCATGCATAAGCTTTGATTATAAGATGGGAAGTGATAACTACGAAAACAAGTTGGTATATTATACTAGTACTATTTAGCATCAGCAGCACGTGGGGGTTATAAATTTTTTGAGAGTTTTGTCGGTGAAATGGATGCAACAACACTTTGACAGCATAGGGACCGGGGAGAGTATGGTGTTTTGTCACGTGGACTCATGAATAAAAATCCTGGCTATTTTTATATATTTTTTGATTTTCTAACTTTTTCTTCTATATACATTCAAATCTGTTAAAATATAATTAACTGTGTTTTTTATATTATATTTTTTAAAATATAAAACTTAATTTATCGATAGAAAACATGTTTTTTAATAGAATGCGGCATATTTTGTGAGACGAGTTGAACAATAATCTTTTAAAAGGGAGAATCTGAAGAAATCGAAGAGAAATGAGAGTGGACTTTGAACTTTCTTTTTTTATAAAATTGTTCAACTAACTTTTAATATGAGTACAAAGTGATTTATATAGAATCACAATATGAAATATTAAGAGTTACAACAATAACTATTTCTAGTTCCCTAAAGAAATAAACTTCCCCCAGGGGATCTGTCTTTTGCATTACTCAAGACTGATTTGAATTTAACCAACAAAACTCTCCCATAAATTCAAATATTTCTTCGATCCATCATGTCTAGTATTTTCTTGCCTCTGTCGAATAGCTCCTTCGACAGTGGTTTTGTAAGAATGTCTGTTTCTTGATCCTTGCTTGCAACATGCTTCAGTTCGATGCTTCCATCCTTCACATGTTCTCGAATAAAGTGGAATCGAACATCAATATGCTTGCTTCTTTCGTGGTTGACTGGATTCTTCGCCAGTTTGATTGTAGATTTATTATCGACTTGAATTATTGTTGCATCTTCCTGTTTCGACTCCATCCTGCTTAGCAATCTTCTCAGCTATATTGCATGGCATACGCACCAGGATGCTGCCACATACTCTGCTTCACAGGTCTAAAGAGTTACTATGGGTTGCTTCCTTGACAGCCAGGTGAATGCAGTGTTTCCCATGAAGAACACATATCCTGAAGTGCTCTTTCGATCATCTATGTCACCACATCAATCGCTGTCAGAGTAGCCAATCAACGTGTATTCTTCTGCTTTCGAATAGAATATTCCAAGTGACACAGTTCCTTGGACATATCGAAGGATTCTCTTCAGAGCTTTCCAGTGTGCAACAACTGGTTCTTACATGAAACGACTCACAATTCCAACACTCAGCGAAAGATCTGGCCTTGTGCATGTGAGGTATCAAAGACTTCCCACCAAGATTCGAAATTTGTTTGCTTCGACACGCTCTCCCCCATCAAATTTCGAAAGCTTTGCTCCTGGCTCCATTGGTGTCGAAATGGGATTGCAGCTATCCATTTTAAATCTTTTCAGGATATCTTTTGCATATTTTTCTTGTGAGATGAAGATTCCCGTTTCTTCTTGTCAAACCTCCAGACCAAGAAAGTAATTCATCAGGCCTAAGCCCGTCATCTCAAATTCTTGTGTCATTGTGCCTTTGAACTCTTCGATCATCTGATTGTTGTTGCCCAAGAAAATTAAATCATCAACATAGAGAGAAACAAGCAATATTTTCTTTTTTTTCCTTCTTCACATACAAGGCATGTTCGTAGGGACATTGTTGAAATCCATTTTTTTGAAGTATGTGTCAATTCGTGTATTCTATGCTCGTGGTGCCTACTTCAGCCCATAAAGTGCCTTCTTTAGCTTTAGCACCTTTCCTTCATTTTCGATTTTCATGAATCCAGGATGTGATACGGTGGCAGAACCGACTGTTTTGAAAATGTTGGTTTGCATTTTGCGTTTGTATTCGCAAAATGTCGCGGTAAGCAAGAGTCGCCACCGGCTTTTATTTTATCCAACTGGAAAGGAAAAAAAGCATAGAAAAATTTCTTTTTCGAGATTTTGAGTACGGGGGGTAGATTATAGAAAGGGAAGGTATTAGAATCCTTTCTATCCATGGTTTTCCACGGGCTCTTAGGTACTTGCTCATCTTTAAAAAAAATGCTTGTGTGTGTTTGTTTTGAAAAGTTTTTGTTTTACTTCATTTTAACCCTTGCTTCTGTCCTCAAGAGTGTTACGAAGTGTTTTTTGAAAACTTTGTTTGAAAAGTTTGTTTATAAGTGTATGGTGTAAAATATTTGTTGTTTTGAGCAAGTACCTACTAGCATCTACCTACTCGAAAAAAGATTATTCTGTTCTTGTTTCCTTTAGACAATGCTATCCTACTATTGAGAAATAGGAAGCACCGTCGTTGGAGTTGTAAGGGTCAATTCGAAAGGGACGTGCGATCACTAAAGCAATGTTAGGACGTCTTAGTAATAACCCTAATGTCTCAAGATCATATTCGAGGCAACATTTCCGAGGCAATGTTTCCGAGGCAATGTTTCCGAACGGGACATTTGATCTTTTGTTTAGACAGGAGGGCAACCACTAAAACACCCGATACTTAATAACCGTTTACCGAAGGCAATCGAAGTGAGAGTATACCCTAGGAGTGCGCATGTGCGAGTGATTTGATTTCAGTTATTATCTTTTCACATTAGGGTTTTCTAGTCATTTTAAATTGTCATGCAATCTTGTCATATAATCCTATTAACATACATCTAACAGTTAATATTTGCGAGAATTAAAATGCGAGAAAATAAAACCTACGCTATTACAAGGCTTCGGGGAGGGGGATTAATTACATAGCCAAAAACCCGTAAAACGATAAATAAAAGAAAATCCTAATTAAACTATTACATACCGTGAGCAGTTACATTAATATTGCAAAAATAGTAAACGCGCGCGATGAATCGAAAACGAGAGAATTAGAATTTTGACCCCGACTAAACCTAATTAAAAGAAAAATCGTTTTTTTTTGTTTTTGATTATTTTGAGAAAATAAGGTTCAATTGAAAAAACCTAGTTACTAATTAATTTAAAATTTAAGAAAAATAATTAAATTAAGCTATTTTTGTATTTTTATTTTATTTGAGAAAGAAATTAAAAATTAAAACAAGAGTTAACCCTAATTTTTCCTAATTGATTTTAAATATGTGAAAAAGTTAGAATTAATCCTAAATTAAATTAAACTAACATTAAATTAAATTTGATAAAATAAAATAAAACCTAATTCTAAATTTGTGAAGATTGATTTTATGATTTTTGTGAAAAAAGAAATTAACTTTGTTAGAATATAAATTAAACAAATCAAATTAAATAAAAGAAAATAAAAAGAAAGAAATAAGAATGGGCCTGGTGTCTTTGTAAAAAGGGGGTGTGATTTGCAAATTCAAGCCCAACAAGCTTAGGCCTCCATTGACTTTGACAGATTCTGTGTGTGCATTTGACTCCAACGTATGGTGGACCCTCATGGGGTAGCCTTGGATCTGAAGCCTTGGTGATCTGATGGTGAGATATTGATGATGCATGGTAGGCTGATGGTATACATGTGTACCTGATTATGCAAGACAAAATAATAGAAAGCAAAGTTAGGGACCTGGGAATCGAACCCAGGCCCTTAGGCATTCTCACGCTGCATGATGACCATCTGAGCTGGCTTAGTTAGTTGTATGGATAATAACAAGCAATTATTATATGATAAAAACAAAGCGTGATATTTCAAAACGCGCGAAATTTGAATGGGCGAGTCAGGGAGTGCCACATTACTTTCTTCTTCCTCCCACCGTCGTGTTAGCGCTGAAACTTTTACCTACCAATCAACTCGTTGCAACCTCACGAGCATCATGGTACCATTATCCATGCCTAATTGTTCCTGTACAGAAAAACCCTAAAAATGAAGCAAGAACCCTAACTATGGCATCTTGATAGTCAATAAAAATGCAATTAATCATAACCATTAGCTTGAAAATATCTCAAGGATCAAGAATATACTAATAAATCATGTTAAAGATGCCAGAATGATCGTATTCGATTTCAAAAAAGCATGGAAGCCGTGTGACACTTACAGTGCGATTTTGGGTGTGAGGAAGCTTGTTAATGATTGAATCTTGATCCTTGGATGTCCAGCAAGCGATTGAGATGGTTAGAATGCTTTGAATTGATCTGAAACGTGGAAATCAGTTTGCCACTTTTCTTCAATTTTTTGAAACTTGCTTTCTCTTTTACACGCCTCCAATCCCTTTGTTTTTGGTCTGCAAATGTTCCTTATGTACCCTAGAATGAATTAGGGTTGCAAACTTGTATCAAATATTTTCCAATTAAGATCATTGATTCATGATTTGATCCTTTGTGCAAATCTTTCCAAATCCATCAAAATGCAATCTTTTGTGTCCATATGATCCTTTCACGATTTGATCTCACTTTCAGCTGTATAATAGACCTAAACATGCACAAAATCTCAATATTTGATTAGTTTTTGATATTTTCAATATTTTATTTGATTTAGTTGAAATAAAATCAAAATAAATGACAAAAATAAAAGAATGACAAGTGGAAGGGCTCATGGGTCGTGGGTCACATTACAAACTCAGTGCAAGCATAAAAAGTTTGGCCTATTTGACAAAAATTGCAATTTTGGGCACATTTGACATTTGACAATTTTGCAAAAAGGGTCAACTTTACCAATGTATAACTCCTTCAATTTTGACCCTAGACATGTGTTCTTGGACTTTTTAGAAAGCTTAAGATGTCCTATAAGCAAAACTTTTGGTCTCATCTCAATTGATTCTTCCATGTTCATGTATGAAGCTTTGACCCAAAAGGTGTTTTTGTTGACTTTTCAAAATGACCTATAATGTCCAAATTTATATCTTCTTGTGAGTGCATATTTTGAACTTGGGAGCTGAAGATGAATTGTAGGGAATTGCATCCTCTTCAAAATGAGCTTTGGATGGGTCATTTTTTATAAAATATGATAAAGTTATGC